TCTTTGGCTTTGTGGGTAAGAATGCGTGAAATTAGCAAACACTTTATTTCATTATTGATTCTATTATGGCAGCTATGGTGCGTTGTTGGAGAGCTTCGTGGTCAGACAAGAGTTGGTAGAAAAGATTAAGGGTTGTATCGTTGATTCAGGAGGAGTAGATCCTCTAGATACCAAGGTTTGTTCTCTTACGATGTTTCTCCCAAATAAGACCCTTATGTTGAAACTTAGTGTACTCAGACATTGTGTATGTAAGTATGTTGATATACCTTGAATGTCGTATAACTCAGTAGTGTATTTTCTTGCGTTTCCGCATTGTCTTCTCTCATCTGTTGTAATAGTATAGTCTTTATACACATCTTAATCATTGGAGTGACATTAGATATGTTATTGTAAAGATTAAACCATAGTTTCTTGGTTTACTTGCAGATCTGGGCAGCTGGTTTTACTGCTGCTATACTGAAGAAACGTAGCTCCACCATTAACACTGAACCAAACAGTCCCGGAAACGAAGAAGATGAGCAAAAGAAGGAACCTTTTGGAATCGAAAGCATGATGCTATCATCTCTAGAGAAACTCTTCCCCATGGTCTTAAACATCCCAGAAGTCAACATGTAAGCTTCAAACTATCTCCTTTTTGATACGCGTTAGTAATTGGTTCTGAGTTTAAATGTTTGTTTTGCAGGAGGCTAACGAGAATCACCCAGAAACTCTATGAGAACCATCCTCCATGCCCTCAGCTTTATCTTTACAGCTCTGGGGACAAAGTTGTTCCGTCTCATTCAATAGAACTCCGGATTAAAGAACAGAAGAAGATTGGAAGAAACGTACATTGTTTCAATTTCAAGTCGTCTCCACATGTCGATCACTACCGGAAGTTTCGTGACATATATTCCTCACATCTACACAACTTCTTGCAAGAGTGCTTCAAGCCAATAAAGCAGCAGCAAGAGCAACAGCAAGCTGTCTGATTTGAGAACATAAATTTCTTGGTTCGTTTTCTTTTGTCTGGCTTAATGATTCGGTTTCTGATTCTGCTCTCTTGTAAGATGATGATGATACAAGTTGCGGATACGGTGAAGCGTTACGAAATATAAAAAAAGTGATTTTGTTTTCTTTCGGTCTACTTAAATGAAATTTGGATCCATATTATGTTGAACCGACCGGTTCGCTATTTCGGTTTAAACTGATTTAACAAGCTCGAACCGGAACACAATTAAGATACGAACGAGATTCAAAGGGTCTGTCTTTCTACGGCGAATTCGTCTTCGAATGGTGGTTGCGGTATGTGATGGTCCAATGTTGACGAACAAGCAGGTAAGCAACGATGACTCTCTCACATCGTCTCGCATTTGCAAATTGGGCCTGTAACGAACATTTCTTCAGTTTAGAGCTGGAAACTGCTACGCTGCTTTGTTGAGGTCTTTTTTATTTCTCCTCATTTCACTCTTTTGTGTGTATAGTTCTCTGAGATGATACAACCCATTGAAGAAAGGATGCTTCAGGTGGAGAACTATGTCATGGTAATTTGTAGAGCATATTATTACATTTTCTCTCATTAGCTACTTGAATAGTGTGATGACATGTGAATTAACTAATGTGACCAAAAGATATGAGTTAATAGTTAACTCTTACTCCCTCCGTTTTATATTAAGTGTCGTTGTAGAGAATTTTTGTGTTACAAAATAAGTGTCGTTTTCGGTTTTCAATGCAAAATTTATTAATTTTATTATGTAATTTGTTTTTCTATTGGTTAAAATATGGTTAGGTGTGTGGGTAATTGTGTTTTTATATAGGAAATATGTAAAATTAATTGTTTCCTTAATCCGTGTGCATAGATGTAGAGTGACACTTATATTAAAACAGAGGGAGTATTTACTTTCTGTCTCACTGTTATTGTGTAGTTAATCAAACCTGAGCTGATTGTACAAACCGAGCCCATTACTGATCCATATGGTCCTTCTATTGTCGATGAATCTTTGGAAGCTATAATTGTCAGGTTTAACATTTTGTCTATTTTAATCTCATTTTTTCACATTTTACGTTCTATTCACATCCGTGGCTTTAACTAATCAATATTCTGCAGCAACGAGACGTTACCTGGTGGCTTGTCAGTTAACAGAAAGAGAGCAGAAAGAGGTCTTTCTCAACTCAAGGTTCCTCTTTTATTATCCACCAACTTCCTGATGCATTTTAAGATCTTCAATCATCAAACCTATGTTTTTTTCTTTCTTGGACCATGCTTGTTGCAGATCGAGATTGTGGAAATAGTTTCTGATGGATCAAGTGGAAATAAGATAAGTTCGAGTACTCTTAGGAAGTTGGAGGCTGAGACACAAAAACAAGATGCAGAACAAGAAGCATCATGAACTTGGACATGTAGAATCAGCTTTGTTTTGTAATTTTTGAATACGATTCTGTATATTGACCGAAAATGTTCAATGAAAAAGGTCAACACTTTGTGCACAAAAAAAAAAAAAAAGGTCAACACTTAGTATGCATTTTGATGCTACTGTGAATTATAAGACGACTGCGTTTTGAGAAGACTGAGCTGCTTTAAAAAAAAACTGAAATTCTTTAGGATAGATCTAAAAAGGTTTTTATCATAAATATACATTTATACTTTTAAGATTAATTAATCTTAGAGTTTAGAGTTAAGATTTAGGGTCTAGGGATTAGGGTTTAGAGTTTAGGATTTAGAGTTTAAGAGTGGAGTTTTGGAGAGAGAAGCAGGGTTTTGCGGATATGATTTTAAATTTTAAAAAAAAAAATTCAATTTTTTAAAATAAAAAATACTATTTTGGTCATTTTAGTTTTTAAATTCTATTTTTTTTGTGACAAAAATTTTAAAAAAACTATTTAAGAGAATTAACCTTGTAAAATATGTAAATATTTAAAATTTTCACATTTAACGATGAAAATATCCGTTAATTAAGTGTTTTATTATTTTTAATTCATTAATTGGTATAAAGACTAGTCAAATCACCAAATTAGTACAATTATTCGCATATAATCACGAGAAAATGCGTTTGTTGAGTGATTTTTAGTCTGACACATTTAGTAATTAATAAATTATTTTATATCATTTAAATATAAATATATTTCATATTTAATCAGTTAATTAATAAATTATGTATTATTTTAATATCTTAAACTAAAATAAAAACTAAAATTTATTCAATCAAATATATAAATAAAATTCATTATATAGTTTAGATTTAAATAAATCTAAATATAAAAAATGAAAAGCCAAAAAATCTAAATTAATAAAATTACTTATATTATTAATATTTTTAAAAACAGTTATTTTTTAAATAATATATTCTTTTAAATTTATTATTATTACGCATAGCGCTAGTAACCTTTTAATTAGCCTGTTAAGCGGAACGAAAATGTAAAATCGGTTTGATAAAGATATTTTTTTAAATTGTCTTTTAAATTTTGAATAATTCTTTTATTTGATAGAAATTGTGGAACGAGAAGACCGTGACGAACTGTTTCTTGCGTATCAATCATTTTTTGGGTAATTCATCTTCTTCTTTATGGTTATCTTACAAGTCTTTAGTTTACGCCACTGATGAACTCGTTTTTGTCTCACTTTTGCAGTTCTTCTTGTCGGAGAAAACCCTACTTTTATTTGACAAAATCATACATCGTTTAGTCTCCTTTACTTGGTTCGGGTCTCAGTTTCTTGTTTCTAGAGTTTTTACCAAACATCACTCTCTTCTCTAGAAAAAGATGAATGATCTGATGATGAAATCGTTCCTAAATTATGTGGAACTGAAGAAGCATGAATGGAGAGATCTCCAATCTCCTCCGTACGGAACTTGTGGTCAAGTTGTATCGCTCGTACCTCTTTGTTTTCACAGAACTACAGACTTCTTCTTCTATGCTTTAAAAACTATGGACCTGACCGGAATCTTAGAATAAAACTAAAAGATATTTCTTGGTAAGTCTTCTGGTATAAAACTTCTTAACAAGTCTTTTAATTAATATTAAATATTTAATTATTATTGTCGATTGCAAAACTAAACTATACAGACATCTTACCACACTTTGAAGATTTCATGTGACTGTAAGAAGACTTGTATAGAAGTCTATTTCGAGAAAAATTCTCCAGTAATATTCTTTAGAAAAGTCAAATATCTTAAAAATTCCGGTCAATTGTAAAACTAATCTGCTTATGAGAGAAGTTCTTTGTTTTCTATGGTTACAAAGAAAAGTTAAAAAAATTCTACCAAAAACACACAAAATAGTCAATCGTATAACTAACTTATCATTGACCAAAAGACTTCCCATAAGTAGTGCTTATGAGAGAAGTTCTTTGTTTTCTATGGTTACAAAGAAAAATTAAAAAAAAATTCTACCAAAAACACACAAAATAGTCAATCATATAACTAATTTATCATTGACCAGAAGACTTCTCCAGAAGTCGGCTTCTCAACTTTTAAAGAAGTATTATTCGCGAACATATCTCATAATCAAATATTAGACCTATAACCCGAGAGATTTCTTGCTTAACTTCTCCTACCACAAAAAACTTCACCACAAAATATACCCACTCATTATTGACCAATAATCAAAAACTTGAGTGACTAGATAACTTAAAAATTTTGTAATCAAAATGTTGGGGGGGGGGGGGTTGTGATAAGATTAGTGAGAAAGTGAAAGAGGGATGGTTTGTGTGGACAAGAAATGATAATATATCTTGATTTTAGGTGTATTTAGAGCATGAAATTAGTTATTTATGATGGTTAGTGTATCAATGACAATTGAAATATTGTAAATACTTGATGAAGATGAGACTGATTGAGTAAAATAATCGTTTTTTTTTAAATGTAATGGTATTTTGTTGAATAACTTGTATTTTTATGGCTAATAGAACAAATGGAAATTCTAAAAAATGTTATTTTTACATTTGACTTAAAATTTTAAGTTACTTTTGCAAAACGCCCAATTTTGATTTGGTTAATATTTGTTTTTGTTTTTGTTAAGGCACACTTATAATTAGTTTTGATTATATATATATTTTTGTATTATAAAAATATGATATATAAGGTGTTGCAGATATTTTATATTTTTAATTATACTATACTTAATTTAATTGCTTACCAGTGTGATATATATAATTTAATATATGAATTATTAGTAATTACCATATTTCAATAATTTGCTAAAAAATATAAGTATTTATAAATGTATCTTACTTATAAGATGGGATATATGTTTTATTATTTCCATATTTCAAAATCCTGCTAACAATATATGAAATACTAAAAAATAAAACTATATATGTCACAGTTAGATTAATGTCATATAATATTTTATTTTAAATTCGTGTAATTCGTTTTTAGAATGAATATGATGATGACACTTAATCAAATTTTAAAATTATTATACAAATAATCATTAGGTAAAATTGTATATGTCACAATATTCTGATATCATGTCATTTTAAAAGAAAAAGTCATATCATTTTTTTCTTATTGAGAATGAATAGGGTGGTGATATGTAATTAAATTTGAAAATATCACTTCACAGAGTAATGCCTACATGATGTTTACAAACTAAGATTATATAAATAAATAATACTATTTAATGAACATGTATATCCAAAAGCGAAAAAATATCCTTTTCAACTATTTTCATAACAACACCTCAATAATGTTTTTTGGAGTTTAAAATAATATGTAAGAGATTTTCAGTAAATGAAAAGAGAGAAAAATAGAAAAATAATTTATCACAGAAAGCGAAGGTCCACTCTTTGTGGTTCTCATCCTTCATCCTTGGGTCCTCTCAAATCTCTTAACTACTCTCATTCTTCAAAAACTACCTCCAATTTTCCTTCTTTGGTTATGGATAATATCTTGTCATAGATCTTGTCAAAATCAGACAGTTCATATATTAGATAATTGGTTGGAAAATTGATATGAGGAAAGAACATTGACGCCTTTGTTAGCTTGAAACCTACTTTTAGAAAACATCTTATGATAATATCTAGGGAGAAATTGTGTCAGGATCAGCCATGTCACTATAGTAGTATGGTAATAGATTTATAGTACATTAATGATAAAGTTAGAAAAGAAAACGGTTAGATGAAAGTTTTTTTAGTTTTTTTTTTAAACTAGGTTAGCTGAAAGTTTTTTTTTTTGTGACAAATGTTGGCTGAAAGTTATCAAGCCAAAAAATCTAAAGTTGATATGGTGGTTAGCTATAAATAATGTTTAAGTATATTTATCAATTTTAATGCATGAAGAATTTAGGAAATTAAGGTAATGAAAAAACGATATGATGGTAAGCATATGTAAGTATATAAATTATCTGCCTGTTGCTATTTTGTCACAATAACATACATTGAGGATGATTGGTTGAACTGTAGCTGTAAAACTTTTACTGTAGAAATTAGTCTGTAGAGTTTTTTGATTTAGCTGTAAGAGATGTAGCTTTAAAATTTATTGCTACAGCAACATATTTTCTACAGCAAAAAAGATGTGACTTTAGAAAATAAGAATTTTACAACCATTTTTTTAGTTTTTGGTTGTAGCTTTAAAAAATAAGATAAAGTATGATTGGTGATTTAAATGTTGTAGATTAAAATTAAAGCTAAAATCAGCACTTACAACCCAACCAATCACCCCCATTATTTGGGTTTCAATTTTAAGCCACTTGCTTAAGTTCAAATATATATATATATATATATATATATATATATATATATATATATATATATTTTAAGCCCTTAGATTAACCAAAAAAAAAACATAATCACTGTAATACATGTCATGGTACTCTGTTTATATTTATCATTTGTAAATCACAACCTACTTTAGATATATTAGGTGTTTGCCTACGTGCAGAAATGAAAGTTTTAAAAATAAAATTAAATTTAAAAATAAATTTCTATTTAAAAATAAAATTTGGTTAATTTTAAATTTATTATTTTGTTACATTATTAATTTTATGTAACAATTAACATAAAATAAATAATTTTTATTTAAATTTTTATTTAATATATATATATATATAATTAAAATTTTGGAAAGAAATTTCTATTTTTTTTTCTTTTGGTTAAAATATGTTAAAATTTTTATTAATAAAAATTATAATAAACATATTTCAAAAATTGTAAATATCATTATGCATGTGTTTACCAAAAATAATTTATGAATTACTATCATATTTTATAAACTTACCAAAAATATATATAACATTAAATATAAATGTGCATGTCATCATTAACTCAAAGTCACGTAATCATTATTAGTGAGCATATAATCATTTTTTTGGTGGTAGAGTTGTAGAAACACCTGTTTCTTCCACTTAGCTCCATGGAACATTATTGGTGATGACATGTATCAAAATCATTTCATAAAGAGATAATTTTCTGAGAAACCACATTTCGACCCCCTAACTTACCCCCTAACTTGCGGTTTGCACACGACGTGACTCCTCC